GCTGTGATGCTCAGTGTTTAGAGTGTTGGCGTCTCTCTCTCTCTCTCTCTTTCTCCCGGGCTGCCTGGCTCTCTGGCTCTCTGGCTCTCTGGCTCTCTGGCTCTCTGGCTCTCTGGCTCTCTGGCTCTCTGGCTCTCTGGCTCTCTGGCTCTCTGGCTCTCTGGCTCTCTCTCTGGCTCTCTGGCTCTCTGGCTCTCTGGCTCTCTGGCTCTCTGGCTCTCTCTCTCTCTCTCTCTCTCCCTGCCTGCCTCCCTGCCTCCCTGCCTCCCTGCCTCCCTGCCTTCCTCCCTTCGCTCCCTCCCTTCGCTCTCGCCCTACGATGAGTGGCTAAGGGCTTTCTCCACAGCCTCGTCGGATTACCGTCATCACCCCCATGATAGCAACTCTCTCCTTAAGGTAACTAATTCACGTTCCTGAAGCTAGTTGTTACTGATAAGGGCCTTTTCAGAGATTTTGCGGGGCAGCCGATGTGGGCCCTTTGCTTTTCTTGCATCCACCACCGCCACAGTCAAATTGAATTCCGATTTCGCATGATGAAGATAACCCTGACGACAGCAGGCGCGATGAATGAGAGGATCAGGATTTCAATGAGTCCTGCTCCGCCTCGCCGTCTGCCACTTCCTCCTCCTCCTCCTCCTCCTCCTCCCCTTCCTCCTTGGCTTCCTCCTGGTCCTCCTCATCCTCCTCGGTCTGGTCCAGTGCTTACATTCATTCAGTATCCTCATACCCGTATTCATCACCATACTCATCATCATCGTCATCATCATGATCATCATCACCATCATCATCATCACCAATGCTCATCATTATCATCATCCTCATCCTCGTCCTTTATCCTCACATTCATCCTCATCCTCATCCTGATCCTCATGTTCATTCTCAAACTCATACTCAAACTCAACTCATACTCATCGCCAACGCCAGCAGGCCCTGTGTTTGACGCCCGTTTCTCGTCAGGGTGCCGTCATCGGCAGCCCCATGCAGAGGGATGCTTGGGAGCGCAGCACGGGTCAGCTGGCCTGCTCCTGAGAAATTTCGGTCGCACTACCCAGAGACTCTGTTTATTGAGTAATATACCTTTCATTATTGCAGGATCCCTCATATGATTTAGGGTGTATTCCTTAAATAAGGGATGTTGGAGTCTCTGGGTATACCATAGTACACCATACAGTCATGTACTGTTCTATACGGTCAGTACTGTACTATGCTATATTCAACTCGACGATGTAATATCTACAATTTTCCTGCAGGTCCCGGTGTTCCGAGTTTTTTGGGTTGATGTTGCAACACCTGTCAGTAGAGGGTTTGCCAAGCAGCACTCAATATCCGTACGTAGGAAATGGCCTCACTGAAACTATACAGAGGATCTCCCACATGGGAGTTTCAGAGAACAGGGAGCTGCAACATAGAACCAGAAAAAAGAAAGGATCCTCAGTACGTTGAGGGCTCCTAAGTAAGGTACGCGCCTATTTTCTGCATCTTCTGCCATTAATCTGAGGTCATGGCTTGGTTGATGAGTATTGGACTCTTAGGGCAAGAGCCTTCGCAGAGTCTCTCCAACTTGCAGACCTAAACTTCAATCCCCAAACCCCGAGCCCTAAACCGCAGTCAACTAGACCGCGCAATCTCCCATCTCCGGGGGTCTGGGGTTTAGGGATAAGGGGTTGTGCCGCATGTTATGAGGGGCAGGGTCAACAGGGTAGTCAGAAGTCTTTAACTCAACGCTGAGGATTTCGAGGCATCTGCAAACCTTCGACGCCCTTAGCGCTCAGTCCCAACGAAAAGCCAACTGTCGACGTAAACCTCCAGAATCCTAGCTTGTGTGTTGAAGGTCTTTTTCTGCCGTGCCCGTTACGCAATTTGGGTGTGTTTCTGCACACCTGGTGTTTAAGCCTTATCACCCCTCTATTAATGTGGCTACAGGCATGTCTGTTGTATATACATATATATGTTTGCACATACGCGTGCACATACATGAGACGTATGCAGAGACACAGTACGTACGAAGAGCCACCTGTTCAATCGTGAGCAGAAGACAAGGTTTCTTACTGGTTACTGGTAGTATTGCGCAATGCACTCACCAAAGCCCTGGTGCCTTCCTATGATTTTCTATGCACGTATGTGTGTGTGTATATATATATATAGATCCATACAAGGGCTCAGAATACTGCCCGCCAGCGGAGCGTGGTAGATAGCTGAAGCCCCAGTGCCGCGCAGGCACGTCTTCCGTGTGGCGCCATAGGTGTTCATCCGGCCTCTCCCCTGTGGCATCGTCGTCTGCGGCGTCGCCGGAGCAAAGCTCGCAAGAGAGTGCGTGCAGCTCGCGGCAGCGGCTCCCAGCCTAGCCTTCGAGACGTGCGGTTGCTGCTGGCCCATCATAGCATGGGCAAAAGGAGTGGAGGCAAGCCCTACAAGAAGGAGGACGGCCGGGGAGGCCGGACTTGGACCGACAAAGAATGGGAGGACTATCATGCCTCTCAGCGGCGCTCGCCTGGCTACTGGCCTGGTGCTTACAGGACTCGGGAAAAGGAGAAGCAATCGCCCAGAGCCCAGACTGGTGCCTTCCCCAGCTACGACAGCAACTGGAAAGCGGAGGACATTACGGTCCTGTCGGAGCGGCGGTTGGGCGATGGCCAGTACAAAGGTGGTCTGGCAAAGATGGCCCAGGCTGCCGTGAACTTGCTTCGCAAGGCGGAGAACCGCTTGGCCAAGCTGCACTCAGACATCCAGGAGAAGTCACGTCGCTGGGATGCTTATCAGATGGAGCTGAAGGCATCTTTTGTGCAGGAGTACAACAGGCACCTGGAGACGTTGGACCGCCTCGAGCTAGAAGCGGTGGAGGCAGCCACGCAAGAGGAGCATGCAAAGGAGCTGGTCGCCAAGGCCATGGCTGGCATTGCCCCGGCCCCGGCCAACACGGCTGCGAATCAGGCTTGGTCGCAGTTGGTCGCTGGTACCGGCGATGGATCGGTAATGGATGTGGATGCGGACACCTTGGGTCGGCACCTGGATGCCTTTTTGGCTGGGAATTCACAGACGATGATTGGGATTCCGCCGTCTGGAGCTCCTCCTGGCCTGGCTGCTCCGCCGGAACTTGCCACTGGCCCGATGCGTACATACAGCGGAGCCTCACCGAGTGCTGCCAGAGTCGATCCGTACAAGGCGGTGAGCCCTTCGGCCCTCTTGAGGAGCCGCAGCCCTCTTCCTGCTCCTCCGGAGCCAGCCCCGGCGAGCACGCCGATTCCCCCTCCGGTTTTGCCTCCCGGAGTCGGTGGCTGCAGTGCGAGATCTCAAGGCTCGGCTGGGCGTCAAGGAGGCCACCAAGAAGGCACCACGGGCAGCCTCTACCTCGGTGGCTTGCCTTGCCGACAAGTTGCAGGCAGCCCGCCGCAATGCCATGATGCCGTTTGGGATCTCACCGGGCCCTTTCGAGGCTCCTGCTGCAGATACTGCTGGGCGAGGTCTGCGAAATGGGCCGATGCCGGAAGCTCTTGGACGACCTCCGGAAGAGCCTATTCCCGGTGGCCCCGCTATCGATGTGGAAGAAGAGGACGAATTGGTTTCTGCGGCACCAGGGCAGGCCTCTCCCGGCCTGGCCAAAATGGAATGAGCACACATCTCTGGCTGGCTGCGGGCCGGGCCACGTTCCCCCGATCGGACACTGTCAGCGGATTCTGGGTGTGCATGGACAGTTTACATCCAGCTTCCGCAGGCAGTTGCGAGATCTGGCGGAACGTCTCCCCGTCACCCCCGGCACCGGAGATGGTTTCACCTGTAGCAGGTAGGCCGTCTTGGATTTCCTGCAACATGTGGAGTTTTTGTCGAGGTCTGCTCCTCTCCTTCGGCGGCACCTGCACTGTGTGGGGTCGGCTTGGGCTTTTGGCCGACCTCCTGCGGAGCGGGCTGTTCCCTGTCACCATCGGGTGCGCCGCCTTCCCTTTTTGGGCATGCGGGTGTACTCCTTGGATTCTTTCCTCGATGGAAAAGCACCTTCCTGGGTCTTGTTTCAGCATGAGCCCTGCTTGCTGGTTCCAATCGCCTTGGGACTTCTCTCCCTGCCTGCTGGATGTGCTCTTGTGTGAGCTTTCCCAGCCACCCCGTTCCCTGCACCCTAGTGGTTTAGGCCCTTGGTTGGTGCTTAAGACCCTTAATCCTGATTTTTGCGAGGCCTTTCAGTTTTGGGCGGTGCCTAACACACGCATCGGTGGCGCTGGGGCGTGGACCGCTACGATTGCCTCCTCCGGGTCCTGTGATCCCCTTCTGAGTTCTGTCCATGGTTGTTTTCCGGATGGGGCCTTTCCTGCCACTTTCGAGTACTCATGGGTGCCTAAGACGTGCATCGGTGGCGCTGGGGCACGCACCCATGAGATTAAGGAAGGGCCTCGTGTGGTTGATTCCCGTTCCTGCCCTGGCATCGGCCTTCGGAGTAGACCGGGTCTCTCTGGCTGCTTGGGGACCTTGGTTTTCAGCGTTCTCCTTTTCGGTGCCATTTGGGTCATGCACCGGATCTGTGCATCCGGCCTCGTACCTGGCCACGGAACCTTCTTGCCTCACATGGCCCTTGGCAGCGCGGGCTTTTCAGGCCTGCGGGGGTTCTGCGTGGCGTACGGCATGCGCTTTGCTCGCTGCTCATTGGGACATGCCGTGGCATTCCCTCACACGGGACACGGGCAACTCTCATGCCGTTGGGAAGCGTTCAGCTTGTGCCTTGGCTTCAGCGTCCTTGCCGGACACGGCCTGTTTGCGGAGCCGTGCTCGTGGATGCCCCAAATGGTGGTCGCTTTTGCACGCACCGCCCTGATGATGATCTCAGGGTCCGTGTGCGCACTTCTCCTTGGCCAGCGGCGGCCCCGCCAGCTCTGCCGCAGGTGGACAGCCCGCGCACAGGCGACCGATTGCGTTTGGTGGGTGTGTCCCCTGGCTACGTGTGCCAGTCCCCGCCTCTGGCGTGAGCAGCATCGTGCTCGTGGCACCCGGCGAGGCCGCCATCCTCATTCGGCATGTTGCCGTGCTCCGTGGCTCCCCGGCTGGATAAGAACCTGCCTGTTTGGATGCCTGTGGAGCCAGCCCGTGTGTGTGTGGGCGGTTCCTCCGCGGGACTGCCAGGAGATGTTCCTTCTGCTGCAGCCTCAGGGTCCCGTGCGCCGGAGCCCCTTCCGGGTTCAGAGCCTGCTTGGCTACGCAACGATGAAGAGTCGGTGCCTCATGCTGCGACCGGTACAACCTCTGAGGAGCCCCGTCCTCCACCCGGCTTCCAGTCCGGTCGGGCTTTCCCTGCCTCGACACATGTTCCGGGCATGCCTGAGGCTGGGGTCCACCATCGAGTTGCCTGCCAGGTCTATGTGGTGTCTCCCTACTATGACCCTCAGTTGCTCCAGCTCTATTGGACGGTCCCCTGTGAGGCCAGAGACGCTGAGCGTTACGTTTCCAGGCACCTGCGGCACACCCACTTTCCGCATGCATCCATGTTTGTGGCCTGCCAACCTCAGCCCAGCCGAGAGTTTGCGACCTTCCTTGCCATTCCCGAGTGGACGACTTTCGCAGGACTGAGCGGGGTTGTGTTGGACCTACGTGCTGCTACGGTAGGTCAAGAAGGCCCCATCATTGGGTCCTTCTTGTCACGGCCCACCACTGCGGCTGAGATTCGGCGGGAGGCCGGCCTATACTCAATGGGTCGTTGCCATATTATGGTCGGCACCAGCAAGGACCCACTTCGGGATGATGAGCAGGTGTACCTAGATAATGGGTCCCTAGTCCGGTTGATAAGGGTTGAGTACGAGGTTGCCGACCTGCCTTCCCTCGACCACACCCTGACTTCCGAGACAATGGATTGCTTTCAGGGGCCTCTCCCGGAGGTGCCGCCTTCACGTGTGCTGCAGTTGTTGCACAGCGCCGGCCGGTACTTTTTCAGTGGGCAAAGGGCCGCCGGCCAGCCGCTGCATACAGCCATTGTCGAGTTCGTGGGCGTTCCAGCTGGGTCTGTTACCTTCCACTCCCCAGGCGAAGGGTGCTGTGAGCGCTTGTGCTTCCGCGGGATGCGCGTTCGAGACACTCTTGTCCTCGCGGACCGCTCGCCAGACGGTGCTGCCCCGCTGGTTGTCTTTCTTGATCTGCGTCCGGTTGGGGGCGTGATCCAGTTCCTAAGTCTACAGCATCCGCGGATAGACTATGCGGATCTGGAAGCTATTCTTCCGCGACCTGCTCCGGCAGGTTGGCAGCTCACAGTGGAAGGCGGCAGGCGTTGCCGGGGCTACTTAGAAATCTGGCATCGGTGCACCCTCTTGTTCTGTTTTGCCGGAGTTCTGGAACCCTTGGGGGAGGATGCACCGCCTTCAGATCCCTCCGATCAATCCGACGGGCCGGGTCCTGAGGAAGACGGGGAGGAAGAGGACCAGACAGACGATCACTCCCAGAGCAGTACCCATTCACGCAGCCGTCCTCGACATGCTCGAACGGTCGTGCCAGGTTCGCCCTCCTCGGATCCCTCTTTTCAAGGATCCTTCCCGCCTGCCGCTGGTCATGGTACAGCGGCTTCTCCGCTCCTGTTATCCCTCCCAAAAGGCTCTTTTCTTGGCCAGGTCAGGCTCCTTCCGGCACCAAGCCATGATGAGCGCTTGCAGGCTTTTGGCAGGGTAATGCATCAGAGCAAACTCCCACTCTCGAGCTGGGTGAGGAGGGGTGTTTTTCGGGAGTCTCTTGAATTCCAGGGTGCCTCCTCTTTGACTCTCCAGGACGTGGTTCCGAGTGCCCCATGGCTCGGGCCTGTTGACCTTCGAGCTCACTTGCTACTACCGCCAGTGGAGGAATTGTCGCTTTTGTGCTCAATGGTCGCCGTCTTGCCGACGGGTTGCAGCGCACCCTGGGATAGGGTTCCCAAGCTGTTTTCTTATGCAGGCTCGGTTGCATGCCGCCTTCCGGACCTGCCTGCCGTTGGTGGAGATTCGACTGCAGCCCCGCCGGGTCCTGCATGGATGACAACACCGCCTTTCATTGGGGAACGCAATCCTCCACAGCACCATTTGCCCGCCTTTGAGCGGCCGGCCCCTGCCGCCGGCGAAGTCCTGAACGGTGAGCCGTTCCGCGCTACTGCTTTGATTTTTGTTCCGGAGTACCCACCAGAAGTGGTCACTATTACGGTTGAGCCTGGCTTGGACATCACACAGGCGGTTGCGAGATTTCAGCTTGCCCGTCAAGATCTTCCGATGGAGCGGTTTGACCGCCTACTTGCTGCCAGCCCTCAGCCTGTCACCCAGTACGCTTCTTTGGTTGCTTTTGCGGACTGGCATGGGGGTCTCGTGGCCTTGTTTGACTGTCTCCGGTATAACGGGACCCAGTATGCAGCTCTGGTATCCCCTGCCATGACCAGGGATGCCCTACTTGCGGTTGCCGGTATCCGGCCAGAGCAGGAGGTCGAGGTGTATGTTGCCGACTACCCGTTGCCTCTCGGTTCGGATGATGTCATTGAGATGCACGCCGGCTACACCGTCAACTTCGTTTCGCAGGGACACCCTCCCTTCGCGGTTGCATACCTTGCTGACATGCTTCTGTCCCCTGCCGGGTGGGCAGCTGAAGTTGAACTGCCCGTCCAGGAGCAGCGCTGGTTCTATGTTGTCAGTGACGACGCACCTATCTTTCATCCCGTTATGTCAGAGCGACGCCATCTGCTTCGGGCTGATTTGGCTGATCGCTTGCATTACGACCTGGCTGCCCTGCAAATTATCCCGGCCGTTCCCCGCATGCGAGATTTTTCTGACTATGGGGCCCCCGTGCAACATGTGCTCATTGCGACGCAGTTTCCCTTGACCGATCCCGTAACTCGGGCTCCTCGTGGGGTGTTCCTGCTTGACCTACGACCACTACATGCTGGGCTTACCTGGGAGTTTTGCACGGGGTTCTCCATTAGGGCGCAGACCTTGGTGGACCGGTTCTCCCGCCCTTGTCCAGCCAGCCACTATGTCTCCATCAGTGGGGCACGGCCTCGACATGAGGATGATGGCTTGTACTTTGATTTCGAGCAGGGTCAGGTCTTGACAGTTGACTATCGTGTCCTTCCGGACAGTAGTGTCACTGGGTCGGATGAATCGAGTGATGATGACGGGGACTCGTCGGCCCCTGGCGACCCCTCGATGCCGGACAGGGACGGCCCTGATCCTGGCTCCGATGATGGCTCCGATGTTGCAGCGACCTCCCTGGGAGAGGCGGCTGGGACTTCTGGTGATCGGAGTCGCAGCCCACATCGCGTAATGGGATCGCGTGTTACTGGTATGCTTCCTGCCCGCCATGCCTGCCATTCAGATGTAAGGGTCATGTGGAACTGGGGTTCTATGCAAGACGCCCGTTGCTGGGGCTTCCCTAGGGACACCTCTGGCCCCCTTCTGGTTGTAGGCATTTGGATTGGGCTAGGAGCCGCTCTTTGCCAGATCCTTGGATGGCCCCTTGCAAGCTGCTTTCCTTTTGGGAGCCAGGTGTGCACAAGGGCCGCACTGTCGCACCCGTGCGCTTCTTCTCTGGTTGCTCCTTGTTCACTGTGCCACGGCATGTCCTCGGGGTAGTGCCATGCAATTGCGTCAAAGTTCGTGCCGTCAGGATGGGGTTGTTGGCCCTGCGACTCACAGCCACTTGACAGGTCGGACAATTGCGACCCCCTGCCGGGGCCCACTGCGGCTACCCAGTAGCGGCCCTGCAGTTTTTAGCCTGCTGTGCGATGACAGTAGTGATTCTGACGAAGAACATGTTGAGCCGGTGCTTGCCGGATCCTGTATTCCAGTTTCGAGTCCCGTAGGGGTTTTCGGGCTTGATTGCAGTGGCCTTACCTTGCTCCAGGAAGCCGCACAGTGTTCTGACTGTCCGGCATTTGCTGTTGCAGCGGCTACCCTGGAGGTCCTGTTTTCGGCCTTGGGGTCACCTGTCTTGCCGCCCAACCGATTTCCTTGGAGACGTCGGTACCTGTGTCAGACTTCCAACAGCTTGCCTTGGAACTTCAGACTCTCGTTCCGGTGCCGGGCGACGTCGAGGATCCGGCCGCCCTTGTGGACTGGTTGGATGGCGATCTGCGTGCCGTGCAGCAGGACGGACAAGTCCCTGCAGCCAAGCGTGCTCTTTTCCGGGGCATTCCCAAATGGCATGACTGCTCTGGCGGACTGGTCCCGTCACGGATCATTGTCTACACAGATGGATCCACCACCCCGGTACAGCCAGGCGCCTGGGCCGTATCAGTATGGGTTGAGGCCTTGCCTGGTGCCCAGGAGTACCTGTTAGGCTGTGCCGCTGATGTCCTTGTCCCTCCGGACCACCCGCATTTTGTTGGCGCTGCTCTGGATATCCCTTTGACTTGCGAGCAGGCTGCCATTGCCTGGGGACTTTGCTGGGTGATCCAGTTCGGGACGGGGCTCCATCTCCCCGTCATCCTTCGTTATGATTGCCAAACAGCTGGACACGGCGCTTTCGGTACTGCCAAAGCCCCGAGAGAGCCCGGGGCCGCCCAGCCGTCCGAACTTTCTCTGTTTCTGTGCCACCTGCGACAGCTCGCGGCTTCCAGAGTTGCCATCTCCCATGAACACGTTCGGGCCCACTCGGGTCATGTCGCCAATGAGCTGTGTGATGAACTATCCAAGTTGGCCCGACGCTGCCATGGTGCTCGGTGTGGACACCTGCTCCCTTGTTGGCCAGGCAGCCTCTTCCGACATGGGTTGCGGGCATGGGCCTGGCTTTCGCATTTGTCCCCGGCTGATCTTCCCACTTTGTTTGCATTTGAGTCAGAAGCTGCCCGGGTGCAAGCAGTGCGGACCCGTGGGGACGCACGCCCTACCATGGGGGCCCGAGCTGGTTCGCGTGAGACCGCCACAGTGATCTTGTGCCTTCACGTTGCAACCTTCAACGTCCTGTCACTCCTGGATCCCGCATCTGCCAATGCCGCCACGACTGCAGCCTGTGGCCAGGGTATGCGTGTCGTGGCCAAGAGGGAGCTCCTCAAGCGCCAGTTTCAGTCAGCTGACCTCCTCTTGGCAGGCCTACAGGAGACCAGGCTCCGTGAAGAGGCCACGCTTCCAGATGGAGATTTTATCATGCTGTGCGCCCCTGCCGATGACCGGGGACATTTCGGGGTTTCGTTATGGGCCAGCAAACACGTCCCGTACGCCTCCCAGGGTGCACAGAAGCTCCGCCTACAGCCTCGACATTTCACTGTCACTGCGTGTGAGCCCCGTATGTTGGTGGTACAGGTATGTGCGCCGTACCTTTGTCTTACCATTGTCGTGGCGCACGCCCCCTCAGAACCTCCGGCTGCTGCAGGGTCGGCCGAGCGCTTCTGGAAACGCTGCAGTCGCTTTGTCCAGCGGCGCCCTCGGCACTCCGAGATCCTTGTCCTTTGTGACGCCAATGCCCGGGTCGGTGAGCACACGTCCGATGCCATTGGTGGTCTTGACCCTGAGACTGAAAATCCCTCTGGGCAGGCATGGCATTCCTTTCTGGCACGTGAGCAGCTATGGGTCCCGGCCACTTTTACTGAGTGCCACGCTGGGCCTAGCTGCACTTGGTGGGCCCCTGGAGGCCAGGGCCATCGTCTGGACTACGTTGCGGTCCCAGTCAGCTGGCCAACTGGTTCGATACGGTCCAAAGTGTGGCAGGATTTTGAAGTCATGCAGCTTCGTGACGACCATGCTCCCGCCACTCTTTCTGCTTCCTTCTCGCGTGGCCCCAAGGGCGAGGGGAACCTGCAGTTCACACGACAGGCCATTCGACCTACTCCTCACTCTGCCTCCCCCGGCTATGCAGCTGACCTGGTAAGCCTTACCCGTCTCCCTGCTGCTGCGTGGGGTGTTGATGTTGACACCCACTTTGCGGGTGTAGCCAAGGCCTGGGGGACCCTCGGCGCGGCCATGTGTCCTCCTGCCCCGGCCCGGGCGTGCCAGACCTACTTGTCAGTAGGGACTTTGCAACTGGTGGCCTGGCGAAGAGATTGGCGCCGCCATTTGCGGGCTGTGAGGGACCGTTGCGAGGACCGGCGTCGTGCTCTGTGTTTCGTCGTTTGGCAGCTCTTTTGTTCTCGGGTGCACCTGCTCCCCTCTCAGTCCGATGGTTTGCTGCAATGGTCCCGTCAGTTCTTACCGTGGCTGGGACGGGCTGCCATGATGGTGTTCAGGACAAGCAAGCTCCTGCGTAGGGCGTCCAAGTCGGATCGCGTCGTCTACCTTGACGGCCTGGTTCGTGCTGTGTCCCTGGCTGACTTGAAGGACCCGAAACAGCTTTTTCGCCGGGTTAGGGCGGCTTTCCCCCAGGCTCGGGCATCCAGGCGTCCTTCCTTTGTCCCCCTGCCTGCTGTCTTGGATGCAGACGGACAGCCTGCGGCCAGTCCCGAGGCCCGACTTGAATGCTGGCGTCGGCATTTTGCCGCTCAAGAGGCTGGTGAGCTGTGTGCCCCTGATGACTACCCAGGTCTCCTGCGTGCCCAAAAGGCTCAGGCACCCGTTTGTGCGCCGGTCTTTGACCTTGCTTGTGTGCCGACCCTTACCGCGGTCGAACAGACTCTTGCAGGCCTTCCGTACGGAAAAGCGTCTGGCTATGACGGCATGACGGGTGAACTTCTGCGCCTGGATGTCCCGGCTTCTGCGCGCGTGTTGGTGCCCATGTTTGCCAAAGCTTCGATGGGCCTGTATGAGCCCGTCGAATGGCGCGGTGGCGCCCTCGTGCCATTAGCGAAGCGTGCGGCCGCCGCATTGTCTTGTGACCGCTTCAGAAGCATACTGGTCTCCAGCATTCCTGGCAAGGTGTATCACCGTCAGCTACGTACGCTCCTGATGCCGGCACTGGAGTCGGTCCGTGGGGATACTCAAGCCGGGGCTGTGCCTGGGCTCTCCACTGAGTCTATAGCCATGGTGGCCAGGGGCTTTAGAGATGTTATGGTGGCACGCCAACGAGCATGGGCTTTGGTGTTTTTCGATGTACGCGCAGCGTACTACCGCGTCATCAGGCAACTGTTGGCCCAGGTAGGTGACACCGAAACAGCACTGCGCCGCCTCTTCCACGAGATGGGGGTGCCCCCGTCGGCCCTTGGAGAGTTGCGAGATGGTCTTGAACGCCTCGGTGCCCTGTCGTCGGCCGGAGCGTCGGATCATCTTTGCGAAGTCCTGTCGGACGCGATGCAGGGTACATGGTTTCGGCTCGACTTTGGTTCCACCCTTACGGTCACACATCGAGGGGTGCGGCCAGGCGATTGCCTGGCCGACGTGCTGTTTGGCTTCACCCTGAGTGCCTATCTTACTGCCACCGAAAGGGCTCTTGAGTCGGCCGGACTCTCTGAGCCTATGCCCACTTCCGCTGGGCCTCCCCCCTGGCCGGATGCCGTGGCCCCCCATCGTCTGGAGTGCGGGTCCTGGGCGGACGACTTCGTCCGGATGACCAGTCAGTTGTGCCGCCGGACTCTTTCTATGAGGGTTACCAAGGTTGTCTCTGTCTTCGTTGCACAAGCCGAGGCTCTTGGGATCGAGCTCACGTTTGCGGCCGACAAGACAGCTGCAGTGATGTCGGATGTGGAGGAACAGTCCCCTCCGGTGTTGTCTGACCAGGATGGCCGTTTCCTTGTGGTCACCAGCCCTGCCTCCGGTGCTGAGCACCGACTGCCCATAGTTGATGCATACAAGCACCTCGGAGGTATTGCCACGGTGTCAGGGACTCCTGTCCCAGAGATTGGACTTCGCCATTCTCTTGCGTTGAATGTGGTGCGCCCACTACGGGCCAGACTTTTCTCTGAGGTGGGCATCCCTTTCAACACACGTCGACACCTCCTTAAGTCTTTGGCCATGTCGCGCTACACCTTTGGCAGTGCTGCTTTGTCCCTTTTGTCTGGTATCCACAAGCGCTTGTGGGCCAAACACTACGTGGCTCTTTGGCGAAGCCTCTGGCGGCGTCGAAAGGGCGAGGCCTTCCGACATTGCTATGCCGTCTTGGGACCTGCCAGAGCTCCTCCGCCTCCACTCGCTCTAGCTTTGGCCCGGGCTGTGCTCTTGCGACAGATCACCAGTCGTGGTCCATCCACCCTCCTTCATCTGCTCACTGTGCATTGGCATGAAAGTCCACGCAAGGCATGGTTGAGCCAGGTTCACGGAGACATTGTGCATGTTGCCCAGTATGGCCGGGCTGCTGAGGCTCTTACAGGCACGCGTGTTCCGGTCGCCTCCCTTTTGGAAGCCATCTATGATGATCCAGGATGGTGGGTCCGCCAGGTCAAAGCGGCCTGTCGTCAGGCACAGGAGGACCTTGATGCTTGGAATTCTCATGTATGCCCCGTCTCCGAGCGAGCCTCGCCCGTTGAGCTGGGGCTTGCTGGGACCCCCGAGGTCCCCTACACATGCCTTTGGTGTGGGGCTGCCTTCCGACTCCGGAAACACTTGTGTGTCCACCTTGCGCGGACCCACCGGGTTTTCTCCCCTGCAAGACACTTGGCCCACGGTAGCACCTGCGTCAGTTGCCTCAAGTGTTTTCGCACAGTTGCCCGGCACCAGCAGCACTTGCGGACAACGTCCAGTTGCATGCTCAGGACTTGTCTCCTCGTTCCGTGTTTGACTGTGGAAGAGATGCAACTGGAGGAAGGCTCCGCTACCAAGCAGGCGCGCGGCCTCAGGGCCGGGGTGTGGACTTCTTACCAAGCCACCTTGCCTTCGATCCAAGCGCACGGCCCCCACGCTCTTCCTGCCAGTGAGCGATTGGACTTGCTCGGCGAGGATGCGGACCTCGGCCTCATGTCGCGACTTTTCTATCCGGATCCCCACTTCCTCTCCTGGGTCGAGCTTTTCCTGGACAGCCGATCGACGGAGGGGCCCAGAAGCGGCACATCCTCTTTTTGGGATCGTCGTCCGGCCCGACAGCCGCTTAGTTTCACCTGAATTTATTGCATGGGACGCGCCGCATGACGGCTCTGAAGTCCTGCGAAGAAGAAGAAGAAGATCCATACAGGAATGTGCGTAACAAATGCGTATGTACATACATTAGTACAGCTAACTAACGATTAGTAAATGAGTACATATGTGTATAGAGATAAACGGTTGTAGACAGACAAATAGATGGATGCGAGCTTCAGAAATAGTGGTTCGAGTATAGAGCCCTAAGCAGTAGGTTCCGTCAAAAGTAAGGGCTCCCGAGTGCGGTACCCTGAACCGAAACCCTGAGCTCTGACCCTAACTGACGCCTCAAACCTTAAACCCCTTGTAGCAACTCTTAACGGGAGTTGTTATAGTAACCCTGAAACAAGAAACCTCAACCCGAAGCTTTAAAAACCGACTGTTTTTGTCCCCAGCCCGAAACCCTAAACCCTAAACCCTGAGTATAAACCCAACCCTAAACCCGAAAATCTAGGCCTTAAACCCTCAACATGAGCCCTAAACCTTACATCCCAAATAGAAGGCCTAAGCCGTACATTTAAAGCAAATAACAACCCTAAACCCCAAAACCCTAATATGAAGCCTAATCTGGACCCTAAACCTTAACTACTATTTGCTTAAGAACCCCCAAAAAATAAAAAATATATTCCTTATGGGGGTAATATAGGGGATTATTATTTTTATTTTTTGGGGGTTCTTAAGCAAATAGTAGTTAAGTATGGGCGCTGAGCCCTTAAACATCCTAAATATGAGTCCTAAACTAAATCCTAAGCCCTAAACCCTCATCTGAAGCCGAAGCTCTAAACCCCATGTGAGCCCTAAACCTTACATCCTAAATAGGAGCCCTAAACCTTACATCCTAAATAGAGCTCTAAACCTTACGTCCTAAATATGAGCCCTAAACCTCACATCCTAAACAGAGCCCTAAACCGTCATCAGCCGCTCCCTCCCCTAACCAAACTAAACCCTAAGCCCTAAACTAAACCCTAAGCCTTAAATATGAACCCTAAACCCTTAACCCTCTTCAGTCGCCCGCCGGAACCCAGGGCACTCGTGAGCCAAGCGTGTCCTCTTCAAGGCCCCAGTCGAGGCAGAGCTCCAGGCCGGCTCTTCTTCGAGACTCCCTGGAGGACTATCCCTATAAGGAACCCTTTAAGGAACCCTAAGTCCTTTACTAAGGGATATGGGAGTTTCCGAAAATAGGGGACCCTTTTGTGATACCCTAAATAGTACGATCTAGAAAGTAGATCCCCTAATTTGGGACAGGGTTTAGGGTTTAGGGTTTAGGGTTAAGGGTTAAGGGAGGATGATGGGACTTAGTGGGGTTCCTCAAAAGGGGCTCCTTTAAGGGATCCTTTATGGGGGTTTCCGAAAATTAGGGGTACCTTATTTTGGGGTCCTTATAATGAGGAACCTACTATTTAGGGTACCATATTAGGGTCCCCTATTTTCGGAAACTCCCATATCCCTTAGTAAAGGACTTGGGGTTCCTTAAAGGGTTCCTTATAGGGATCTTTCCTGGGGTCTTAGGCTTTTGGAGGGCTGAGCAGAGCTCTAGGGCGGCTCTTAGGGATTTTGGGGGCCTTTTGAAGGTTCCTCTACAGAGTACTAGATTTGGGGTTTAGGGGTTTAGGAGTTAGGGTTAGGGGTACTTGGAAATAGTTACTTTAATCTTTGCTTAGTATATCACCGAAGAAACAGCTGAAATTATCATTTTTGCTTAGGGTCTAAGTTCGGCATAGTTTAAAGGTTCTTTTAAAGAGTGCTACAGCTTTCTAATCGAACCTTGAAAGAGTACTACTCGAACCTTCAAAGAGCACTACAGCTTTCTAGTCGAACCTTTGAAGGGTACTACAGGGTATCTTTGAGGGGCTTCCTTTAAGGGGCGTCTCTAGAGGTTCCCTAATCGGGTCCTCTTTCAAGGGTACTACAGGGTTCCTATAAGAAATTTCTAGGGCTTCCTTTAAGGGGTCTTAGGGTCTTAGGGTTTAGGGGGTTTTTCTAGTGGATCCGTTAAAGGGCTTTTACAACAAGGATTATTGCAAGGGCTTTAGGTATGAGAGAGTTCTTTCTAATCGAACCGTTAAAGGGTGCTACAGGGTACTACAGGGTTTTTTCAGGGGTGCTTTAAAGGGTTTAGGGTTTTAGGGTTCAGGGTTAAGGGGTCTCAGGATTTCGGATGTTTTTTTTTTGAGGGGGGGTTTGGGTATTAGGATTCTGGGGGCGTTTAGGGTTTTGGGCTTTAGGGTCTTAGGGCTTTGGGCTTATTAAGGGTTTAGGGTGTACCGACGATAGGAAGGGAAGAAGTAAGAGGAATGATAATAGTCGTCGTAATGGTAGTAGGATCAGCTTTTGTAAAAGTAGCAATAACAACAGTCACTGTTGTTGGAAAATTTTAAAACTGTAGTGAGTATTGACATCATCGGTATCCTGGTCATTCTCTTGATAACGATGAGTACCGTTAGCTTTGGCTTTAGCTTTGGCATTAGCATTACAAATCTTGTTATGATTATGATTATTACCACCAGTATCATTATAATCATGATTACTGCAAGTATGCATGTACACACACACAGACTTAAAGTACATATGCAAATGAATACCTGCACATGTGTATACAGAGGTTTAGTGTTGTTTTGTTTTGTTTGGAGGGTGCGCAGGGTTTCGAGTTTCACGGTTTACGGCCTGCGGGACGAGTTCGCGCTTTGGGGTTTGGGGGAGAGGGGTTTGGTTCTCCAATATCATCTGTTCGGTTTTGATAACGTATAAGTGCATGTGCATATTGCTGTTTGAAAGGTTGCTATACTTGCAATTCTGCAGTTCTGCCGCGATTAGTTTGCTCTTCTGCTTGCTCTTGCAATCGTAGGAATCAAATTTATCAGGATGTGGAGGGGTTTAGGCTGTAGGGTTCGCGGCCATTGCATTACGTTTAGTTTATGACCCATATGATGTCGGTGCTGTTCTCGGGCATAGTTTCAGCACGTTTCGACCATGCAAACACCGCTAAAAAGGCGTTGAGCAGCTGGCTGTGAAACAACATGTCCAAACACCGGTGATGAAACTCTTCGCCAAATTCACCAGAAACCCTGTAACCTTAAATCTATAACCCCAAGCTTTTAAAACCTAAAACCTCTAAACCCTATAACCCTGTAACCCTGAACCCTAAACCCGCCGGCTAAGCCGAAGCTCCCAGCCTCGTGGCCAGGCCCAAGACGGCCAGCCGACCCTCCTCGGTGGGGAGCTGCCGGAAGGCCAAGCGCTCTGCCGCGACGCTTTCGGCCGGGCCCCCGGTTGGGCAAGGTTTCCTCCCCCCGCCTAGGGTTTAGGGTTTAGGGGTTAGGGGTTTAGGGGTTTAGAGTTTAGGGTCTCGGGTTTAGGGGTTTTGGGGGTTTAAGGGTTAGGGTTTAGGGTAATATGGCCTCATCTCGTCTTGTTGCTGCCCGGTTGCTCCTTCAAGACTCCGTAGAAGACGCAAACACCAACCCAGCATGGCTTGGTGCGGCATAAGCCGGGTTTAGGATGGTTTAAGGTTTAGGGAATTTGAAGATGGAAGATGTTGTTAAGAGTTCCAGTCAGAAGATGTCGGGTTCGACTCCGACCCCGCACGGAAAGCGCCAGGGGCGCATACACAGGAACAGATACAGCGACCGTCGTATGTAGGTAGGGTATGCTGCTGTGTGGAAGCCGGATAGACTATTCAACCCAGGACCCTAAACCAAACACTCTTAACCCAAACTGAACAGCTCCAATCCCTAAACTGTAAACCCCAAACCCTGAACCCTAAACCGAAGCCAAAAGTCGTGAAACGGCAGGAGCTGAAGGAGTCCGCCTCGACACGCACTGCCGCATGGCTTCGTGCTTATGCAGCGTATGAGCAAAGCCTGCTGCAGGCCCCGGGGCTTTTGGGGCGTATCCGAGGCCTCCAAAAGGTGGGGATGAAGGTAGGTCAGGTAGGATGAAGGATCTGTAGGACTTATTTGGGATTACCCCACCTGGCTTCACCCTCACCCCACCCTTGGAACCCTTTGAGTTTGGGGTTTTTAATTCTGATTCAGGGCTCAGGCTTGGAGTTGAGAGTTTGGGTTTTCGTTAACTTTGGTGCTGCCCTGAAACCTGACTTACCGGAGACCCTGAACCCCAGAAATCCCCAAACCCGAAACTGGGCCCAAACCCTACACCCTTCCTTGACTCAAAGTCTGAAGCCCGAAGCCACCCTGAACCCTAAACCCCTGAATCCACTGAACCACCTTGATCCCTAAGGCCTAAGGAGTCGGATGATTACCGACTCTGCTCCCTTATTAAGTGTATAGTCCTTCTGGTTTCGAAAAATATGCATGCTAGTCCCATCTACCCAAGATCCTAAACCCTAAACCCTAAGTTTACTAAACCCTAAACCCTAAATTCACTAAACCCTAAACCCTAAACCTGTCCCACGTTACTTTCGCCTCCATAGGCCGTTCATTCGCTCTAGGCTCCGCCCCGCGAGCAGTTTCGGGGCTTTTTGCCCCAGGGCCCACCACTTTGACTCTGTAATGTCGGGGCCTTTAAGAAATCCTAAACCCTAAACCCTAAACCCTAAACCGTCTATACTATTTTGGGGGCTCCTTATTATTATGGTATAATATATACCCCCAAGCTCTATTCTAATTGTTCAGGCCCTTAGATTAGGGGCATTGAAACCGGAAACTGAGGCAGTCCTCTCAACAATGTCTGGATAGCTTACACCCGGTCTAGGGTTCAGGGTTTAGACTAAAGCTTGCTAGTCCTGTACCGTTTGTGGTGTCGTACATGATAGTTGGATGAAGACAGTTAGTTTGAAGAGAGTAACGAGCACCCTACAACCCTATCCAGACCCCAAGCCTAAACCCTAAACCCTAAACCCTAAACCCTAAACCCTTAAACCCTTAAACCCTAAACCCTAGACCCTTAAACCGTGAACCTTCAACCCTGCAACCCAAACCCTGCACCGGCCCAAAAGGCCCGCAAGACCCCAAACCCTAAAACCC